AAAAAAAAAAAAAAAGTAGATCAAGTTCACAGTCAAGTTTTCATCCAATCTCACCTTCATTCGTAAAAACTTCCTGGTCTCTCTGTGGATGCGAGCGCTCTCCGTTAGTAGATTTAACGAGGGCAGCAGGGTTTCCTTCAGCTTGTTTCCCTGGAAACACAACATCAACAGGTGGAGACGGTTAGCAGTTAAATAGTTGTACATTGGAGCTCCAGCTGTGTCCTGGTGTAGAAATCCCTCAAAGCATTCCCATCACACACAGCACAAAAACAGTAACAAACCGAGCACCAAAAGAAAGAACAAAAATAACTTTGTCGCAGGTGTTTTCACCTCAACCTAACCAGGTACAACACTGCAAAACTCAAGCCCAGTTTTTTTGTATAGCTGTATGAATCTGGGTAAGGTTGGATATACTTATAGAAGTTGTATAATCTGTACATTAATAATAAATGAATGTAAAGTCATTTTCCTTTTTCCTTTTTCATCATTCTACTTTTTTTTTTTTACATTTTTTGTTGGAGAATATGAAAAAAAAATGAAATAAATAAATACATAAATAAATCCTATTGATATTTGACATATAAAGATACATGAAAAGGAAAAAGCCGTTAAAATAAATAGTTATCAATTTCTTTATTCATTAAAATGATATACAAAAATATGTAAATGCCATATAACTCACAAAATGTGTATTTCTATATATAATTTCTATATTTACTAAGACAACCAGAAAAAAATTACATCTAGTATATAAATAAGTTTGCTTTTGGAGCAATGAGATTTCACTGTGGGCGGAGCTACCAACCAAGTGACTAAAAAAAATGTCTTTATGTGTGACAGTGTTGCCATTTTTAACAAACATGGGAAGAAATGTGATTTATCACAATATTATTGTCATGTCTGGTGAGGAACATTAATCTGCGTTTAATGTGTTTTAACTATTCTAATGAATGTTTTGAAATATTAACATTATACTTTTGCACAAAAGCAGTATTCGGTTGCTCACCCGGTCGAGTCTTTTCTCCATAAACTCCAGCAGCACCTTGACGGCGTCCATGTTGACGCCTATGTACTCGATAGAGCCCTGCTGGACTTTAGGCATCAGCAAGACGTCAAGACACGGAAGCGGCAGGTTCCCCAGAAGGTTCACCGTGTGGCTGTAAAACAAGTTCACATCACATTTGCTTTCCTTTTACAAATCGACTAACTAATTGGGATTGAGATCCCTGTGGGTCTGCTCTAATTTGTTACCAAACTCTACAAATCAGATCAAGACACACGGTGAGAATCTGTGCAAGTGTGTCACTGTTTCAAACACCTTTACATGATTCACTTCTGCAATTTAATGCATTATTGAGAAACAGTATCCTTGCCTTAATAAACTTCTGTGCATCTAAATCTTCTGCTCTGCTGTGTGTGTTGTGTGTGTACCTGTGCATCTCCTCTGTGCGCTCCTCTCCCTCGGTGTGTGTGTGTGTGTGTGTGTGTGTGAGTGAGTGTGTGTGTTTGTACCTGTGCATCTCCTCCGTGCGCTCTTCTCCCTCTGAGGTGCTCATGATGCAGTGTCTCAGTATAGCACCCAGGTGTCTGTAAGTGGCTGCTTCCTCCTGCAACACACACACACACACACACACACACACACACACAATGCAAGTCCCATGAAACCACATTAGTTCTGCATCAATAATTAAACACTGTTATTTACACTGAGAGAACAGATCTAATTGCTGGGGGTGAGTGATGCTTATTCAGCAAGATGTGAGAATGAAATTGACACACCTTCGTGGGATTAGGAGAAAATTAGAAAATTAAAAATAACTTGTTTTCCTATCAAAATATTAAGAGGCAGGCATAATAAAATAACACTTTTAATTTACAGCAAGGAATGCACAATACCCATAGTACTGGCTTATCTGTTTTTTTTTCACATCAGATCCACATCAGATCAGAACAGGCAGATAATTGTATCATCATCTTAATTTTTCAGGCTTAAACAATATGAACAATATGACAGATTTGAAAAATATGAAGTTTTTTTTAATCAACAAAACTGTATATATTTATAAAACTGAAAAAAATTATAAAATCAATTTGAATTCTAATTCGATAAATCAACTTTAATTCTAATATATTGACAGAAATCATTCTAATATGCTGATCGATTAAATACCTGAGTAATGGTGGCTGAAAATTCTGTTTTGCCTTTATATTATAGCTTTATATAATATAATATAAACATATATTTTAAAATATATTAAAATAGAAAAGCTACTTTAAATAGTAATAAATTAATGATAATATACATGTATTTAGATTGTTTAAGATTTATATTTTATAGTATATTAAATTATACTATTATCAGACTTCGGACCTGTAATTATTGTTTGCAGAATTTTGTAGATGTGGTTTTTCCTCTGCTATGTTGCAACACATTTACTGTGCTTGTATATTTTGTTAATATATATATATATATATATACAGTGGTGTGAAAAAGTGTTGGCCCCCGATCTGAAACATTAAAGTGTGACAAACATGCAAAAAAATAAGAAATCAGGAAGGGGGCCAACACTTTTTCACACCACTGTATATATATTGTTCAAAATAAAATAAATTAAATTAAATTTGGCACTGTTGCATTATTTTCATGAGAATTAAGAACATCTTCCCCTTTTTGTATTTTTTAAATTCCATTACAATACAGTAGCTTCTTCTAAAATACTATATTATTTTTTATTGTATTGTCTTAAAATGCAAAAAATCCTAAATAAAAGTAGGAATTGTGGTCTTTAGTGCAAGATAAATAT